AGAAAGGCGCACTAAGAAACAGACAAAAGGAGGCCCTCTTCGGAGGGGAGGCCCCAGGACCCTCATAGATAAGTTGGTGCCAATGTGCTCACACTACGTGTGAACTACAATAGCTCCTCCGATCCAAAATATGCTCCATGGCCCCTGTTTTATATCAACGTTCATATAAAACTCAATTTTTTGAAGCAGCCTTTTGCCATTTGCCTTTTAAACTGCACTGTAAGAGCAGCATCTAACAAGGTCTTCGAGCAGAGCGATGTAAGATGTCTTTTTCCTCTGATCAACCCCAGGTGGTAATTTAAGATTGAAACTCTCGCAAAGGAATTTTAAGATTGCAAGTTTGAGATTGTTGAGTGTGTTATTCTCGACCATGGAACAGATGTACTGTTGGTAATGAATAGACTCCTTAGTATTTGACAAATTAAATTATTCCTCCATCGCAACCAGATCTTGCTCAGTTACAGCTTGTGGGCAGGGGGCTGTCTGCTATTTCACTTTTGCTGTCATTCTGGAAAAAAATGAAGCTACTCGTTGAGTTGTCAAAAAGTCAGAGACACTGAACAAGCGTTCCCCGTTCAATCTCTTTGCTCCTCTCATTTCTGTTGCAACAATTTCCTCGTCAACCTTCTTGCCGCTTTCTTGTCCGATGGTAAAACTAGCGGTCAGGTACTCTCGTTGCTTTTCGTTAAACCGGTAAACTTTCTATGCTTGTTTTAAAGCGAAGCCTTCAGGCGGTATTAGATATCCAGTGCTACGAGGACAGGTTTCAGGAGGTAGAGGAGTAGTTGGCGCGAAACTTGAACCTTCCTCGAGCCTTGCAGCATATTTAACCTTCGCTTTATCAAGAAGTGTCTCCTTTTCAACCATCTTTGTGCATGTTCTTAACGCGAGATGCTTTTCTGGAGAAGAGTGCCGTTGGAACTGAAACTATGCGTGCAGCCCTCTTTTGGACATGGAAACACTTGATCCCTAGTACAGTCTTTCAATTCGACAAAGGCCAGCCACGTTTGGATTTTCAGCACTTGCACCACAAGCCCCCCCCCCCAAGAAGAGAAGTAAAGCTACAGAATGACATCGTTTTCTGTTTATGCTCTATGAAAAACCTCGCGCGTGTTTACCTTTAAGAAAAAGACCGTGATTGCATCATAGAGAATTATCGCCCGGACTGCAACACGGTATAATTGCTACCGTGACGTAGGTCCTTTTTATCAAGTTTTATGACAGAAATGTGGCCATTTTTCCGAAAAAGATAAGAGTAAATAGCATGAAAATAGTTGGGCTGTTATCTTGAGGTGAAAAACTACACAGCAGAAGCTTGCGGTGTTGCGTGACTTTGTTTACTCACATAACTTTTCCAAGATATCCAAGATATTTCAAAAGAAATATTATCGCAGTTGCAGAAAACGTAGCTATTCAACTAAGAATGATGTCGATAATAAACAGCTAGTCAACAAAAATGGTAAACTATAAGGCGGCCCTTATCTATATTTAGGTGTAGGTAGTGCTGTTGAAATAGCGAGTCAACGATAACAGAGTCTTCTGCAATTCAAATTAACAGAAAATTTCGTATCTACACATCAATTTACAGCCCTCTTCAGCAACGTCTACGAATTTTTTTATTCTATAATTTCATATCATTTCCATATCAAAGAGTTTTTTAACCATCTTTAACTATCTTGTTTATTTCGTAGCGCTCGAGTACGATTTCTACAACTGATGTGCATCATGCAAATTCCCGACCTTAGCCACAGTGCGTCACAAACTCTTTTATTTTGCCGACACTTTTCTGAATTACCCAAATTTTTTATTTCATATTATTTTTTTATAAGGACCAAACTTTGTGCCAGCATGCAGTTTGACATGATTTCTCACATACCAAGACGCGTTTTGAAAGCTTGAAGTTGCTCGATTTTTTGCTTTTTGCAACAAGTGTTTGAGAGTACTTTGTTAAAAAATCATTTAAATTTTAAAATCAAACCAAAGCCCCTAAAAAAACTACAGATAAGGATCAAATGAATTATATTTTGAAGTAAAAACACCCCCGATTTCTTACGAAACATCCTTCCTCTGTACTAGCGCACTAAAGTTGGTCAATTTTACTGTATTTTTTGCATAATTAATTGGGTAAAAACCCGAATTTTCGTTTTTTTCCCATTTCCTCGGACGCGTTTGATTTTTCAAACTTCGAAATAATTTTTTTGAATATATCTCCCTTAAAGGGTTTTCGAGGCAAATTATCAGAATTTTTGATTTTTTTAGCCTGGCCAGCGATTCTCGATATTTACAGTCATGGGCTCTTAAGTGTTCAAACGGTGCACCATACACCTTGAAATCCTAACATCGATATTTGGCACCTGAAAAAATGACGGCGCTTTCTGATATTCCATCGATGCATATTGCATCATGAAAAGCAAACCCAGCCAGATTATTACCATGGTGCGTGTCATAGGCTTCCCGTGTAATAATCTTTCACTGAACGGGATTCGATTCAGTGCTAGTTGCTTTTAGACAGCTGTTGCGTAAAAAAATGGGAAAAAACCTTTAAAAAAATACGCTGTGACTAAATTCAAGGGAGCCGTGCAGGGGCAAACAGACTGAACGGCCGGCAGCCAGAAATATTCACAGATTTTCCCCTGAAAGGTTCTTTCGAACTTCTCAGGATTATCAGATTTTGTTTAGAAATGTCCAGCGATTCAAAAGAAATAATTTTTTTTCGTTGGAAAAACTCTCCGAGCTTGAGGACAGTATATCGCTCGGTTGTCGACACTCAGAAATTGCACGCCTCTGATTAGACTGCCAGGCACAGTCTCAAATGAACTAAATGCCCGGCAGTTAGAAATTTTCACCAAAATGCCACTGAAAAGTTCCTAAAACTTCTACTAGAGTATCGCACGTTAGTTTAGAAATGTCAAGCGATTCCAAAATTCAGATTTGGTGTTTTAGTAGAAAAATTTCCGTGCTTGTGCACACTTCAATGTCACTCGGTTGTCGTCACCTAGAATTTCAGACTGCCGGGCACAGTCTCGAATAGACTAAATGCCTGGAAGTTAGAAATTTTCACCAAAATTCCACTGAAAGGTTCCCTCAAACTTCTACTAGAGTATCAGATGTTAGTTTAGAAATGTCAAGTGGTTCCAAAAATTAATCATTAATTTTAGGTGGACAAATTCTTCGAGCTCGTGCTTCCAATAATATCGCTTGGCTTTTGCCACTCAGAAATGCTTCAGCGACACGGTCCCAAATGGACTAAATGGCCGGCACGAGGAAATTTTTACCAAAGTACCACTGAAACTTCATACAAACCAATTGAATATATTCGAGGTTTTTTTAGAAATGCTTAGTGATTCTAAGAATTACGTTGGTTTTTTTTAGTGGTCAAGCTTGAACATACCGGTTTTAAGCTTGAGGGGGTCACGTCGGTTTCGTAGAATTTTGTCTTCGAGACTGTGGCGTGACAGTAAGTGACAGCTTCGTCAGAACAGCTTCAAGTTAAGTAAATATGGAGGGAAACAATGCAGAAAACCTCAAATAAACCTATTGACAATATTTTGTCCACTAAAACAACAAATTACTTTTTAGAATCCCTTGACATTTTAAACAAACATTTGATATTCTTAAGAAGTTTGAAAGAAGCTTTCAGTTGAATTTCTGTGAAAATCTCTGACTGCTAAGCATTCAGTCTGTTTGAGACCGTGCCCGGTTGCCGGGCATTTAGTCACAGCGTAAAAAATGTAAATAGTGAAGCGCGAAAAGTGTTTCTCATAGTTAAATTGTCCGCGGCCCGACAGAGTTTAGAAGAAAATTCTCCTAAAGTAGATCGATTTTCAGATCACATCGTCATATAAAACTACAGGTACCCTATTGAATTGAGGGGCTAGGAGGCTCGTGACTACCTGTAGTTGAAACATGAGTAGTTTGTTTCGTGATAGGCCGGGTAAGACGCGCTATGCTTTCTGGGAACACCTTTTAATTCCCTTGTTAAATACCATACTTTGCATAAATTTGGCGTGGTAGTACCTCATCGAGATATCACGGAAAGTTTAACTCCGGCACAAGTAAGAAGCCGTAAAAATGAATCGTTTGCTGTTCACTCTGACTGTTCTTGTGCTCATGGCTGCACCTGGTAAGTACTGTACAACTTTACAACAGAGTGTATTGTAGAATTTTAAGTGGCTGATGTCTTTACTATGCCAGGATTTCTCTTCCTGAACCGCAAAATCATCGTTGCTAATGCGGAACATATGTTGTGCTGGTGGAAGAATGTATTATCCCTTCTTGAACTTACGGAAGAAATATCTCGCTGAAAATTGGTCAGATTTTCAGCTCTCTTTCTTTGCGCATGATTTCCTTATAAGGGATGGGCCTTGATTTAGGCTCCGATTGATTTTCTCTCGAAAGTTATTTAGTCCGACCGCTTTGTCAAGTATATCCTTCGCTGAGTATTTGTAATCACAAAAAGCAAGCCATGGCGGACAGGGCAACTGAACCTTAGTGAAAGAAGCGCTATACAAAACAGGGAAATAATAGTTTAGATCAGGCAGTTCTTGAAAGTTTGAGAGAAGCTTTTAGTGCTTATTTTTGACTGCTAGGTTTTAGTCAACGAAAGACCATGCCCTGCTGTCGGGCATGAAGCCAAGAAATGTTATTCTTGTGACGGCACCCGTAGAAAGGGCGATTCGGAGGACAACCACATGCATTAGAGACTGGGCTAGAACATAGGGACTTGTGAATTTGTGTTTTTGCAGTGTTGCTCGATGTCCATTGCGGAGATCCCAAATACTGCCGTGTGCGTTGTTTATGTTGGGAGGATCCCGTGATCGGCGAAACAAATCTATTTGCGTTGTTGAGGTATCTTGTTCGGTTTCACCCTTGCGCAATAACCGTTGAATTTTGTCGTCCTAGTCATAACTAAATTAAACACAACTTGGTGGCAGAGTTTGTTGATGTAAGGAGCTATGATGCGTTATTTTTTGCACTTTTTTGCCGTGTTTCGATCCACAGTGTCTGATTCATAGAAAGTCAGACGGCAACATGGTGAGCAGATGTGAATCTCGGCACATCGAAATTTAATTGTTGTCTAAACAGTAGTCTGAAAAGTCACTTATCTCCGAGAGCGTCAAAAGGAACACTGAAATCCAGAGGCGAGGGGGGGGAGTTTGTTTTTATTCAAACCAAGTTCAGATTGTCATATTTCGCCTGTTAAGCAACAAGACTTACTTGCATATTTACGGAGGTTCACGGCAGCCTGTAATTGAAATATGAGTCGTGTGTTACGTAATAGGTGGGGCAAGCGGCGCAATGCCTTCTGGGAACACCTTCTAATATTACTATACTTTGCATAAATTTGGCGTGGCAGTACCTCATCGAGATATCACGGAAAGTTTAACTCCGGCACAAGTAAGAAGCCGTAAAAATGAATCGTTTGCTGTTCACTCTGGCTGTTCTTGTGTTCATAGCTGCACCTGGTGAGTACTGTACAACTTTACAACAGAATGTATAGTAGAACTGTCCTTCAGTAAGGTTTGAAGTATTTGTGACAGTCATCGCTCGGTCAACAAAGCAGTTTATTGGCAAAACTGGAACAAATCAAATACAAAAAGCTGCGAAATTAACTTTTAAAATTTCAAGTGGCTAATGTCTTTACTACGCCAGGGTTTTCTCTTGCTAAACCTTAAAATCATCGTTGTTGATGCGAAACTGTTGTGCTTGTGAAAGAATGTATTATCCCTTCTTGAACTTGTGGAAGAAATATCTCGCTGATAATTGGTCAGATTTTCCGGTTCTTTTTCTTTGCGAATGATTTCCGTTTAAGGGATGGGCCTTGATTTAGGCTCCAAATGATTTTCTCTCGAAAGTTATTTAGTCCGACCGCTTTGTCAAGCATATCCTTCGCTGAGTATTTGTAATCGCAAAAAGCAAGCCATGGCGGACAGGGCGACTGAACCTTAGTGAAAGAAGCGCTATACAAAACAGGGAAATAATGGTTTAGATTACGCAGGCTTTTGAAGTTTGAAAGAAGCTTTTAGTGCTCATTTTTGACTGCTAGGTTTTAGTCAACGAAAGACCATGCCCTGCTGTCGGGCATGAAGCCAAGAAATGTTATTCTTGCGACGGCGCACATAGAAAGAGCTATTTGGAGAACAACTACATGCATTAGAAACTGAGCTAGAATATAGGGACTTGTCAATTTGTGTTTTTGTAGTGTTGCTCAATGTCCATCGTGGTAATCCCAAATACTGCCGTGTCCGTTGTTTATGTAGGGAGGTTCCCTTGATCTGCGTGATAAATCTATTTGCGTTCTTGCGGTATCTTTTTCAGCACAGCCTTGCGCCACAACTGTTAAATATTGTCGTCCTAGTTATAACTAAATTAAACACAACTTGGTGGTAGAGTTTGTTGATCTAAGGAGCTATGATGCGGTTTTTTGCACTTTTTTGCCGTGTTACGATATTTAGAGCTCCACGATGTCCCATTCATAGATATTCAGACAGCAACACCTATTTTTTTAAGGGGATCGGGGGTAGGCCCATGGAAACCTCAAACGGTAATCTAGCTTAACATCCGTCAGTCAGGCAAGGGAACAAATGTTTATTGAATTTATTGAATTTTAATTGAGTAGAAGGCAAAAATATGCCCTTTGTCGAAGCAAAAATCCGTCATGACTGTTCATCAATTGGTCTGATAGGATTGCATGATGTACAGCTGAACCCCGGTAACTCGAATTGTCAAGGAAAGTTGAAATTACTCAGAGTTATCGAGGTTTCGAGTTATACTGGTTAAAATTACAGTAAATGGAAATCAGTTTTGCTCATTGAATTTTGAGGAAAATGTTGATATTCTCAAGAATGAACTGTGCAAGATTGACAAGTAATGACAAACAACAGATCGATCCCAAATTAGGCGCCTCTATTTCCGTTCGATGGGATGAACTGTCAAAACTGTTTGTCTACGGACAGACAAAACGTGTGATACCGACAAAGGTCAATTTGTCAATTTTTCGAGGTTTCGAGTCATAGGGGTTAAATTACACTAAATATAGGAGGCAAATCCAAGGGAAATCAGTTTTGCTTTGAGTTAGCGAGAATTCGAGTTTTCGAGGGTTCGCGTTATCGGGGTTAAACTGTATCATGTGCTTACTTTGGTTAGATAGTTCAGCGACTGATGTTCTTTTCTGGTGATGATTACAGCAGAGAGTTGACGGGTCAAGAGCTCAACTGAATGAGTTGTTTGTCACCTTTTTTCATTTCTTTCTTTTTCTTCTGTTCCACATATTAGTTAAGCCCTACATTCTCAACAATCTAAACTTTGCTGTTATCTCAGTTACATCGATTATGGACATTCTGAACATTTGTAAGATTACAAAGAGATTCACCTTTGCCAACAAACTAGGCAGAGAGACAAATTTCAGTTAGGGTTTTGTTCTTGGCTCTCCTGCCTGAGAACTGTATCATGTTCTTTTCTGGTGTCGGCAAAGAATCAACTTGTCAAAAGGTCAACTGACTGATTTGTATGTCTTCTTTGTCTTTACTTCTTTTCATTTCTTTTGTTTATTCCAAGTTATTGGAATGCAGTGTAGCTGTTGTGGTACTGTTCCGTTTTTTGGAATTTGTTCTGGTGTTTGTTCTCCGCCTTAAGCAAGAAGGAAAGCAAGGTGATATAAGTTAGGGATGTAATCCCATATGCACACGGGCTAATTAAGTCCTACATTCTCAACATTCTGAACTTTGCTGCTATCTTAAACCGATTATGGACATTCTGAACATTTTTCAATATTTCAAAGACGTTTACTTGAGCCATCGAACTAGGCAGAGAGACTTTTCAGTTGGGGTTTTGTTCTTGGTTTCCCTGCCTCTGTCTATCGAACAATGGGATTATGAGCTCGACATTTCTATCTTGTGATGGTTGATGAGGTTAGAACTCGCATGGTCTAAATCACAGATGAAAACAGAGTACGTATAATCTACCCTTCAAGATTTAGCAATTAGAAACCCTCACGTTTTTGTGGCGACTGCCAGGCGTAAACCACGCGTGTCGTCGAGATGAGTGATTGAGTGTAACAATAGATGTTGACTCAATCTTGATCGGATCAGTGCCACGAATTGTTTGTTTCGGAATATCTTAGTAGTTCGACATTCGCACTCTTACATAGTTGAGTTCTCTCCTTTAGTGATTTCTGGCTTGTAGCCACTAGCACTCTAGGTTTTCAGTTCTTGCTGTGACACTGTGGAAGACAGCAGAAGACGATAAACATCTCACAAGTATTTCTGGATTGCGTGCGATTAAGAAAAACACAAAAAGTTTTCCTTGCAGAATTCTTTGGGCCCGGGTCACACCTGCGCTTTTTTTCGTTTTTTTTTGGTGAAAAATCTGTCAAAAGTAACGTAAAATAAGTGCGACACCCAATTTGAAAAACTTTTTAAAGAGACTCTTAAGAGCGGGATGGCTTTGTGATTGACGTATGCATCAATCAGTGAAGTTTTGGTCAAAGAACACTAGTTTGATGCTACCGCCGCCGAAAAAACTGGAAAATATTTTAATTCCCTCTAATGCGACTTAGCCCTTTTCTTTATGGGTGTGATCGGCGCATTTTTGAAACTAACTGGAAACCCTTTTTTTTCGAAGGGAGAGCAATTTACCCTTTAAATCAGCGAATTATTACGATCTGAAGATATAATCTTTTCAGTTTTGCAGTGAAACTACTTGAAAGACGATACATATCTCGAAATAATTTCACAGTAACATTCACCGTCGCATAATTTCAATCAAAACTTTTCCTTGTAGAAATATCTCAATGTGATCTGCACGTCATGGAATTTCGAAGCTTTAAGGAAATTTTTTTTCTTTGAAGAGAGCGTTTTACCTTTTAAATCAATGAATTATGCATATCTGAAGATAAAATATTTTCAGTTTTTGCCGTGACACATTAATTAAGACGATTAAAATCTCAAATGATTTCACAGAGGCATTCACCTACGCATAATTTAAATAAAAAATTTTAATTACAGAAATATCTCAATAGACAAATTTTTCTGCAATACTTCATTCTAGCATCACTATATAACCTTGAGTGCTTTTCAATGTTAAAAAAATTTGTGCTACACCAATAGCCACATGCAGTCCTTCAATGTCTATTTTTGTTGAAGGTCACGCCACGTGTAAATCTCGTTATCCACTATGACGGATTACGTAACTACTGTTACTGGCCAATCAAATAGCAGTATTTGCGAACACAGGTGGAATTAAAGAAGTTTTGACGTTCCTTCCTGTCTCGAAGTTCTTTAATAGAATATTAAGAGTCATTTAAAACTGTTATCTTGCTTTCTGTCATCAGGTTGTGCGTTGAAATGCTATGTGTGTTCTGGCGATGAAGATAGCTGCAGCAAGAGCACACTGGAAAGTAACAAAGGCACCTATTTGAAGGAATGCTCTTCCCTCTATGACAGGTGCGCCAGGAGTTGGTCCAAGAAAGATGACGTGAACGCTGTGGCGAACGACTGCGCCACCAAAGATATCTGTGACACAGCTGAAAAACTTTGTGACAAGCTTAAAGATAATATCAAGGACTACCAGTGCGGGGTTGGTTGCTGTACTAGCGATGGCTGTAACGCAGGCTCGCCTGTGACCTTCAGCTTCTTCCTTTTGATCGTCTCCTCTGTGCTGGGCTTGGCACTAATGAAGTAGACCGCAGACCAAGCAGACATGCTGACGTGTTCTTAGCACCGCATGATCGTAGTTGTGTCTGGCACGATGGAAAGTCAGTATTACTCGCGCACGAAAATGTAGATTTGTAGATCTGAGTGTTACATTTGTAAGCCTAATAGTTTTAATAAACGTTTTAAAATGATCGAAGACAGCAATGATACTTTGATGCCCAGTTTGCACGTCATTTGTATTGCCTCCTTAAAAATCATGAGTCACGGCATTGTCCCTGAGTTACACATGCGCTTACGATGGCGGCCTTTACTTTTGGCGTTTGCTTTTGTGTCTCCTCACTAACCACATGTTGATTAGATATGACATAACACAGCCATGATCTTATTATATTTGGCAACTCAAGGCTGTACTTGTGGTATTCAGATGTCACACGGTATTTTCTGTGAATTAATATCCTGTCAGCTTTCTGTCAGTCGCGATTTTTCTGTGAAACAATTTTGCGAGGTAAACAAGTTTGACAAAACTGCTGAAACTCTGTGTTCAGGTCTCATATTGTATTTAGTAACCGCCAAGGTCAAGGCCTTCTTTGAAAAAGACGTCTTCCAAATCTGTTTAAGACTTGCTTTTTCGTCGAACCCAAGAAGTCTTATTCGTTGAAACTGATTAACTTTTGTTTCCGAAAATTTATTCCTTTGAAAACTGAAGTACATTTTGTTCAATACGTGAAAAGTATTGAGCGATTTGCATGCATCCACAGCGGCAGAAAATTCCTTTTTTATCTCGCACATATAAACTGCTTGCCTGGGTGAGTTCAAGTCCAGAGACTGAAGGTTTCCCTCTTAAACGAGTCTTAAAGTGGGTTGGAAAATTGATTTATTAATCTTAAAAAGGATCTGGATCAGGATAACGAATTGAACGCCACACTCCCACGATAAAATTCTAATGAGGTCCATATGGAGATCACAAGCTTCTTGCATTGCTCGATCTCCCTTTTAGGCTTAACTTTGCTTATCGCATAAGCATTAGTCAGTCGCTAATCCATAGAAGAATCCCTTTCGTTCGTCTTAAAGGAGTGTATCAATGAGGTCGGTGATGGCTTTTACCAGCAAACGGTTAAAATTGTGGCCATTTTACCGGTAACTAGTTAAAATCATTCCATTACTCTTTGAACAGTTAACTTTTTTTACGACTGTCGGTTCAAATTTATTAATTTTTACGCCTAACGGCGAAGTTCTTTGGCTATTTTACGGTTATCGGTTTACCCCATTGAGACCCTCTTAAAGGACCAACTTTTGGGAGATCGGAAAAGGCTTGTTGACATTGCCTTACACTAGCTCTGCAATTAAAGTTGGTCAGATACGTTCGAGACTCATTTCTTATCAACAAGAATTTGACAATTTCACAAGTAACGTTGTCGTCTTGTCGCAGTTAAAGCGATTCGTTGGCTGTTCTTGCTATGTTTTTGGCCGGTTCTGATCTTTTTTTTCTAGTTTCTCGTAACAGGTTACGGATTTAAGGTTACTTCTTTCGATGAAACCGTCCGGAAAAGACAATATTGTCTATAACACGGATGAGAATGCAAATTAAGAGTTAAAAGTCATTCCATAACACACAGCAAATAGTTCTTGCGAAACTTTAAGTTTTTCGTATTATTCAGTCAAAATGATTGTTCAAGAGAAGGTTTATAATGGTATGCGTTTTCCTTCAAATACGGCTGGCAGTGACCTAAGTTTTCTCGTACCCGGGCCGCCTCCTCATCAGACAAGCTAAATGTTGAAAATCGCATAGCGCTGAAGCGCTGCTTTAGTTCCGAGGTTTGCGCGCCTGAAAATTCGTCTGATTGAGTTGATCTCTGTGAACTATGCTTTGCTAGGTTTAGTTCGCACACTGTGTACAGTATATACATTCGATGGTTTAACATTAAGTATCTTATAAGTATCTTATTCGATGGTTTAACATTCGGGAGCTCGGAAAAATATTACGCAACTCGCAAAATATCCGAGCATGTTATATGATAAACCATCAAATTGGCGATTTTTTATTCCACTATTTTTTTTACTTTATAGTATTTTGATTTTAGTTTGATAAATACATCCTATGACCTTATCTGTGCACCGTATCGACCGCGGCATAAGGAGTAAATGAAAGACGAAAACAACACGAATGACTCATTAAAGCGTTAACCCTTTACACCCTATCATTAGTATTCATATTCTTCATAGTGTTCTCTGTACATTTGTTAAGGTGCTGACAAGGAGAATTTATCTAACAATCAAAGTTTCTTGAGTTGGTAAACATTTCTTTTATTCTCATGACATTTGTGCCATTTAGTGCCGGGTGGTATTATGACGAGAAATTAGATGCTAGTCACTCTTAGGGGTGAAAGGGTTAATTGTGACCAAAGAGAAAATCTGTCGCACTCTTAAAAAGATTGGTTTCTTTAAAGTTCAAGCCAGAAAAAAGGTTCGGATCTTTCGGTCCGGCCATTTTGTTGCTCCATTTTTTTCGCCCTGTTCTTCAGTACAATACCGTGGCGTATTTTGCGCGTTCTTGTTACTATATTTGGTAAAATGACAAAGTAGTGGAAATATAAATAGTTCTTAAGTGATGCCTTTGCGCACGATTTAAAATATGATAAAATTCTTTGCACAGAGCTAGAATATCTTTCGGCTTTATGAAAGGAATGCGAATTCTGGGACACTGCGCTAGTTGCTTCGTTCTGCAAATTGGCCGAAATGAGGAGTTCTATCCCCGCCAAAAATCAACTGACTTAAGCTTTCAACATCAAACTTTTGCACTCTGCATCCAACATTGTTATTTCAACATCTACATTCGCGATGGTGTCGACATTTTTAAAGATGAACTTCTAACTTACAAATACGTTAAGTCGATATGTAGATTTCAACATCTAACTTTTCAACGCAATGTCAAACTATAAGATGGAACTGTCGAGCTCATCTCCGGATACTACTTCTTTGCGAATTATTTTATATTCCCTCATTAGCAAAAGACTTAAAGAACTTTACAAAATAAACAATCAAGTTACAAAAAATAATAAAGAAAAATAACAAACTCGTAGTCAAGACTGACTTGACTTGGCTTTTTCTACCCTGGGTGTCAGCAGACGTTTTGGCTCCCGTCTAGAGTATGAGTAAGAATGATCATTGGAAATATTTTAATCGAACTGTGCGTACCTTCGGGATTTTCCTTTGGCACGAACGCCATCGTGCTGGCATTCATACAGCATGCAGTTGTGCGAGTGGTGCCATTTACGCAATAGTGACTCACGTTTTGCTCCAATTACATTTCCAGTGCTGAGATTACAAATGGAGAAAAACACCTCAGACCATTACGTAATCAAATGAAACTTGAACCAAAACATCTGCTTGTAAAGTTCTTTAGGTCTTTTACTACTCGCATTTCATTTCGTGAGATGGTTTATTATACATAGGACCAGGGAGAGTAAGATTTCAGGGGGAGGTGGAGGTTTCGTTCGATTCTCGTATTTCATGTACTTGACATGTTGTCGTTTCGCCTTATTTGAGACATTTATGCCTTGTTTAAGATGGTTTTGGATAGTTTGCGAGTGGCTGTAGATGTTTTTGAGGTGGTTGTAAGTCGTTGTTGAAATTTTTGAGGTGGTTGTAGATGGTTGTAGGTGGTTTTAGGCGGTTTTAGGTGGTTTTAGGTCGCTCCATGTTTAAGTACTTACCAGTCGAATTCTTAATGCACCAACGTGCTAGAGCCGCCAAAAAAAGATCAAATGTCAAATAACGTAATCGCAACAAAACAGTCCCCTCTGAGAGCAGGCTGTATAGGGCTTGTGGTTCAAAATGGCCGAACTATCGGGTGTCGTGCGAGCTATCAATGACCTTGTTGTCAGAATTGAAAGGTTGAATGATCCAAGCGAAATCGGGTCAGTAGTTTTAAGGTTAGATTACATCACCAGGATGCTGGTCAACCTCGATGTGGCGGACGACATTGTGAATACAATGAGTTGCTTGCACGAGACTGTGCTGGCGATCGAAGCAGACAGCAGCTCTCCAGTTGGCCAAGGATATCGGACGCAATTAAATCGTGCTGGACGTCGAGGATGACTCTCGTTTGATAAAAAAAGGGAACTGTTATCGTGTTTATCGGAGCAAGGCTTGAAAGAGAAAGAATGCAGTGATTTGTTAGGAGTTGGACAACGAACTGTCGAAAGGAGAATGTCGTCGTTCGGTCCAAGTGTCTCTGGTGAGAGATTTTCTGTTCTGTTTTATAGTTTTGATTGTATATTGTATATATTTTAATGTAATCATGTCTTCTGACGCTTCGTGTTAATGAAGGTGCTTGAGAGGCAGTCCGCGTAAGAACCAACCACTCGAATTTAGGCGCATCACAGAATTCCTTGAAATTTTTACTTTAATTTTGCGACGATATATATGCAAGGACGTTCTAAGACAAAGAAAATTGTTTATTTCAGAGTCAATTTTAAGCTTTTCGATGAGGGCTCCAAAACTTGACGCATTCGATCAAATGACACAAAACGGACATATTGTATAATTTTACGTTTCTGCTATTGATTGATGGCAAAATATCTAAAATCTGACACAACAATCGAGGATTACGCTGCTTCAAAAATACCACTCAGACAGCCCATTTCAAATTTGAGCTAGCGTGCTGTTGTTCCAAGAAGCTTTGCTCAAAAGTTTAACGGGATCTGGAGTCCTGACCACTATCCGTGTTTAGCACTAGGGCTAGTGTTTCAAAAAAAAGAAAAAAATTTTTGGGAACTAGTCTTTTGAGCTGGAGGTGCTCGATAGACTTTGCTAACGGTCCATGGTCAAAGTGCGCATGACAGTTTATGCACATTTGTGGTTACTTCCTTCCTCTTTATGAAGAAATTACTATTTTGAAAACTAGCTAAGCTTTTTTGTTAAGGCAAGGAATCCATAAAATTCATTAAAATATGGCTCAAAATTATAAATTAAAAAGGCATAAAAGAAAGTCTTCTGTGAAACATTATGCTAAACTGTCTCAGGCAGACTGTAAAAAAACATGTTGACAAAATTCCATTCAGTTAGTCCTGACCAATCTTATGCTGGATTAAGAAGAGCCTATTCATAGGATGTCAGGACGAAGACAACTTTGTGTTTACCTGAGCTTGAAGATGTTGATTTCAGTCATGTAACACTGCAATGCTTTTGACATTTAGAATATCACGGACCCATTTTCAACAACATTGAACACATGAACAGTGAGACATAACAGTTATCGAATAGAAAAGGTTGATGTCAAAAGTGATACTATTCCATCTTTGTGGTAATTTATACTAAAATTTACCTTGTTATGTACCAAAAACTGTAACTTTGTTACAGACATAGTTACCAAAGATGTTGATTACCAGCAAGCACCTTGTAATGCCATGTTTTTCAGTGGTACAACAAAGTAGTAAACAAAAAGCAGTACAAATTGAGTGGCATCTTAAAGTCTTATGAATTATTATTTCCCTTTTCATTTTGACTATCACCTTCAAGTGGTTTAATTTTTGGATGTCTATTTGCATTTTTAAATTTGAAGGGGCCCTTTAGATGTGATTATAATCAATCATCATGAGTATGCAATTTAGAGAGATTTGTTTACATCATGTGATTTTCAATAGGACTTTAAAATATATAGTCATTTGAGTCGGCAGAAGAAGTTGTGGTTACATTTGTGTGTCCATTGCTGTGTAGTCTTCACTGTGTAAGAACCAACCACTCGAATTTAGGCACATCACAGAATTCCTTGAAATTTTTACTGTGAGATGATTAGCTAATCCTATCGGCAAAAATCGCATTTATTTGGCTCGTAGTGCTATTTCGCCAATCTTCATTGGTAACCAAAAGTGTCAAAACAGAGGCTGCATCTGATCCTGGAGTCCAGCCACATGTAGTTGGAGCTTTAAGGAATGGAGTCGAAGGGGCAATGCAGCTTATGGTTTCAATACCAGCATCTTTAGCAGGTCTGTAAAAAAAACAAGCAAACAAAAAAAACTGAAAATGGGCATGTATTTGGTTGCCTTATGTTTTGATTCCCACCAAAGGAAATTAAAAACAAACAAACAGATTGTTACTAAAACACATCTTTGAGGTAACACATGTTGTCTAGTTTCCTCAGGGTACAACCAATCCTTTTTTGGGAAATGTCTTTGCTGTATATCTTTCTGCAGTCTGAGCAGATTGCTAGTAATTCACACCTAAATGATTTCTGTCCAATCAACACTAGGAATGTTAAAACTGGGATGGGGCACTGGGATTGGAACAAAATTAAGGCTGGGAGAGTAAGATGCTTTCGTGACTGTTTTTTTTTTTTGGAGTTGCATGACTTTTGCGATTGACAACCTCGTTTTGAAATTATGTGAGCCTCAGTTCAAATTACGTACCTTGTGGAAAATACGCATTGGTGACGTTTTTAGAGAGAAGAGATTTTGAGTTGTATACAACATTTTATGAAGATTAAACCTTTAATTCGAAAAACTTTAATGAGTTATTTTGTGTCTCTGGAAAGCGAAATGTTGGTTCCCACAATGTATACCCAATTGTATCCATCTGCTTTTCCCTCCTACCCCCACCACACCCTCTTTTCAGGGGACCTCTAAATAAGAACCCAGTTTCCCCTCTTGGAAGACTTCAGCAACAATAAAAACCTCTGTTTCTTTTCTTACTTTATACTTAACTCCCAATATAAGCCAAAGTAATAGGTGTTGTGGACTCACTTGCATGTAAAATGTCATGACAAATACAAAGTGATGAGATCAACAGCAGTATGCAATAAAAGTTAAACCCATTGGAACCTATGCTTTGTCTGTAATGGCTAAAACCAATCCTTACAAGGAGCATTTCTCTTCTCCAATTTCCAGATTAGTAAAAACAGCTTGAAAATTGATTAATTCATATGGTGTCTCCCATGATATTTTTTATTTCTCTTGCTGTCTTGAAATTAACAACATATGTTCCAAAAATTGCTGATTTTCTTTCTTCATGTCTTGGATATTGGCAAGTTTTCAGCACTTGCCAGTACTTTTCAGCACTTGCCGGAAGATTTCAATTACATCTAAAATTTGATCTAGAGTGGTGCTAAATTTATGATTTTATAAGTTAGGTGCGGTCACATTTTATGCCCCATTTAAACTTTGAGAACCATATTTCATTAGGCAGCTCTCCTGTGGTTAAGACTGCCTGATTAGAATGGGACAATACAGACACTTCGAAAGCTACTGTTACGATCTTTCATTTTGACGAATTTCTCTGGAGAGCCTCGTTTCTTTTCAGAGGGCGTCTGCCTTAGTTTCCCCTCTGCAGCTTGGCGTGGTCAAGAGACCTCTTGTGGAAGTGTTCTCGTCCTTCAAAAATTCTCGCTCTCTTTTTTTTCTCTCGTACTCTTCACAAGGCTTTGTTCAGTATTAATGCAGATTAGCAAACACAATATTACGGTGAATTGAGAACGCGTAAGCGCTCGGAATGGTCACAATCAGACTTCATGATGATTTTTGGCCCTCGTCAGCGGCTAGTGATAAAACCCGAATAGTGACTGAATAGTGCGAATAGTCGCGAATAGTGACGAATAGTGACGAATAGTGACGAAAGTGATGAATAATGACGAATAGTGGCGAATAGTAAAAATAAATGAATTAATAATTATGAATTAATAGTGAAATAAAAATATTTATTGCCCTATTTCATAGATTTATTGGATTTAAATGTGTGTATATACGATTATTTGACAAAAAAGACACAGGATAACATATGAATTGTGTTTCAATCATGTATATCATTAAAATAGAGGTACTACTCATCTGTTTCGCAAACAAAGGAGTTAATCACCGACGCCGGAAATCGCGATCAGGTATTCCTCGCGACTCCCCTAGGTTTGTTTTCCAATTTGCCTGGGCCGCTGCCAATCACTTCTTGCGTAAAACCAACGAAACCTGCGAAGTGGAACTATGGTGGCTACTGTTGCTTGCCGATATTTACCGTCTGCAAAACGTAGAAGTCAGTTATTGTGACCGATTCTGCCCGAGAAATTTTATTGTCTGGAGCTTGGATATGTCAGGAGGATTTCATCAGACAGCTGGATTACACCCCATGTTGTGAAACCGTCGCGCTTTTTCTTCGCTTCTTTTGTCACATGCAAAAAGGGAGACGTGAGGCAACTGAAAGATGATTCATGCTAACCCGTGAGTATCATTTGGCACAGGCACGAGTCGACTCGACAGGCACACGCATGACTTAACAGTGGAGGATTGAAAACAGGAATTGGCGATATTTTCAATAACTATTATAGTCCCGGGTTTAGGTGTCAGTTTCACATTCGCATGACAAAAAATTAAAGTACTGATGGTCTGCCTTCCCCCTTGATAAAATGGTCCAAAAAATTGTCCAAGGGTCCAATGGTCCAGTCTACATGTTACTCGAACCTTTTTCGTCAAATAATCGTTATATACACACATTTGAATCCAATAAATCTTGGAAATAGGGCAATAAATATTTTTGTTTCATTATTAATTCATTTACTTTTACTATTCGCTACTATTCGCTCTATTCGGTCACTATTCGGTCACTATTCGCGACTATTCGCACCATTCGGCCACTGTTTGTCACTATTCGCCTCTATTCGCGACTATTCGCGACTATTCGGGACTATTCGTCACTATTCGTCACTATTCGCGACTATTCGCACAATTCGGTCACTATTCGGGTTTTATCATTGGCGAATGTCTGTTCCCCATGTCGACCCTTAGCGTAACTTGATATTAATGAAACCGATGATTGTTTGAAATTGACATCATTCCGTGATAATCGATGTTGATTACTCGACAATTTTTATTTTCAGCCCTGTCCTTGGTGATTGCACGTGCTGTTGAGAATATTTGCTAATTTGCTTCTTCGGCGTACATGGCTAACTCACTCTTTTACCTCTAATCCAGTTAAAAAACTGCTTTTGACTACGTTAACATTATAAAACATCTTTGAAAAATATGTCATGAAGTCACTGCTTTGAATGACAATCATTCTCAACAATGCACTAATTTTTCAGCCTTGAGGTTTTTGGTTTGATATTTTTCGACCATCGTTAATTTGTTTATTATTTTTGTCGGCAATCTAGAACTATGTCTTATGTTCTTATAACCCTTGTAACAACTCACAATTCAGAGATCGATTAAGAAAACCAAAAAAAACAAAACATGGTCTAAGCCAGATGGAAAAAGTTACCACACGTTTAAGCACGAAGCAACGGAAGTATAAAATAACATCAGGATTGAAAACATTCAAAAATATTTTATCGGTGATAAATAGCCACAAAGCTATCCTCGCTCGCAAGGACTAACCACGTGCAAGCCAAGAGACCAAAGATCATAGTGAACATTTCGGAAGCCAACTTGGGTATCCTTTGATATCTTGAAAAGTTAATCTCCGAAACAAGAGTAGAGCCAGAAGTATGAGCCGTTTTCAGCTTACGCTGACTATTCTGCTGTTAATAGCTGCCCATGGTAAGAGCGGTGCATACTTTTAAAATTATTCAGATTTAATATCAATCGTATATCCGCAGTTCGGCCAAATACTACACTGTACAGACAGTCAAACATATCTAACTGCGAAACTTACGGTTAATCTTTTTCCTATATATCCACATTTAACTTTTTCACTAATTCCTCTCTTATCATTACTACACCCTATGTACCCGAATCAACCTCTATTGATGAATTTGCGCTGTCGCGAGCTATCTACGCAAACTATATCTCTGATATTGATATCACTGAAAAAGGCGCTAACGCTAAATTTTCATGCATTTGACAAGCTGAAAAAAAATTTAGTCGTTTAGCCTAAATATTTTCAGTTTTTCAATCACTACTCAAAGGATCCCTGTGTATTCTCTAAACTTAGGAAGGTCAAGATCCACAGAAAGGACATAGATCCACTTATGTTTTAAGTGTGATTAATATCGAAGGTCGGCATTTAGCAGAGAATCGTTCTGGCCAGGAGCCCATTAATAGGCTCCTGTTCTGGCTTTTCCTGATCTTTGATACCTCCTTGTCGGTCGGTTGGTCAGTCATTGATAAATTTATCGATAAATCTTCGAACAAATTGACACCATGCCATTTCTATACCTTCAGGTTAATTTATACCAGTCGGAGCCGTCAATAAATACCTCAGCTAAATAAAGATTATAAAAGAGATTTATGCTGTATTGCTTCTTAGCAAGAAGAAAATAGTAGGACAGAATTAGACAATCAGGGCGTTGGCCGGGTTTTGTCGATTTCACCGTAGCTGTTTTTAGCACATAGTAAAAACCGCAGTCTGCCTCCCCGGATGACATATTTTTCCATATTTTCCAAAACCATTTTCGAAAAATCCAAAAACAAGTCATTATCTTCGCTGTTTGTCAAAACATCAACTACTCCCAAGGGACCAAGGTTATTTAGAGGAGGGTGTAGGTTTTTCCTGTTTCCTAAAGCGAAATGGAAGTGTATCTGGGCCCACGTCACTTCTTTTAATAGTCGTAGCGTTGGTTTCAAAGATTGTTGAGATTTTAGCTAACTACAAAACTAATCAAGGAAACTGGATAATTTTTTTCTCATGTTTCCTAGCTGCTGCTTTGAAATGTTTCACCTGCAAAGGTACTGATAAATCATGTGGCAAGAGAAAGTTGGAGGGCAATAAGACCTTCTATTTGCAAACCTGTTTGGCAGGGTTTGACAGGTGTATGAGAACTTGGACAAAAGACAAAGATGGCGTAACTGAGGTGTTTAGCTCATGTGCAAAACAATCTCTCTGCGAACAGGCGAAAGAACGCTGTGAGGATAACGACCAGAAATGTGCGGTTGGTTGCTGCTCTAATGACGCATGCAATGCAAGCTCCACTATCGTCATCAACATTATTTTGTTCATCACGTGCTTTGGTACTGGCCTGACTCTACTTACGTGATGCGCCAAAGACTAGAGCGATGCTCGTCCTTTATTTTTCGTATTGATTTAATTTTTCTGTTACTTTTGACAGGCGGCCCAAGCGTGCTATATGTGATTTCGAGATTTAAAGGCCATAAAAAGGAATATCTAATATGCTAAATAGATGAGTATTGACTGGAATAGTGCATGCCAAAAATTTCCTCGGTATGAGTTCCGCTCTCATGACTTGCGGTTGCCTCCACTCGATGGAAAACGCTGTCGGAGATTATTCAAAGTTAATTAATTTCCGGTTGAGTTTTTGCTATAAGGTGACAACAGGCAGAGGTGACAGATAATTTGGACATTTGGGGATGGACTGTGTGCGTTTGTCTCACGATAGAGTCACTTTTGATGTTGATCGCGACGATTACCAGTCTTCATCAGGCGATGAGGTCGATTGTTGACCTGTCGCTATTTGTAGCACGTTGGTACGCTGCTATTTGTGCATTTCGATCCTCATTAACACCAGTAGCAGCGTACTAACGTGCTACAAACAGCGACATGTAAACAATCGACCTCATCGCCTGTTGAAGACTAGCAGTATTGCAGTCGAAACGTTGCGATCAACATCAAAAGTGGCACTATCGTGAGACAAACGAACAAAGTTCATCTCTTATCTTACACCACGATGAATAACAAACACATATTTTGTTACACAATTTGGACATTGAGGACAATATGATCATGTTATATAATTAAGAGAGACCAGAGGGTGAGAGGAGTACAGTGTGAGAGAAAGGGGGATCAAGTTGACTAAAATAAATGGTGAAGTTTCGGAACACAGCAGACTCGTCAGTCTCATTTCCGACAACGCCCCTGAAATCTTTGTAGTCAGCTTTGGTCTTTTCTAATTGAGAGAAAAGAGGGATCGCAAAATTTAATTGGCGTTTGTTCGCGAAATGAAATGAAATGTAATACTCGGTAAATATCCCTAAGAATAAATGTTCGTCGCTACATGTCCACAACATATAGTGAAATCAAATTCTTTTCTTCTTTGAACGGCCTGCGGCCAAAAGTAATTTCATTAAAAAAACGACGCTTAAACGACCCATGAGGGCAAAAAAATACCACAAATGCGTCGATGAACATTTCATTTATATTTATTGAGATCTTCGCACCGAGATGTTATTTGGATATGCAATTTTCAAAGCTTTATTCCTAACCTTCATAGATTTTGTTCGTCTCATGTCAACAATTATTAACCAGGCACGTAGTGTGGTCTGCCTCTGATCAGAACATTCGGAGTTGGAAATTTGATAATTACAAATATTTGGTATGTATCATGTCATTAACAAAAAATTGCCACAAATCCTGGTCAGAGCTAAACTTTGAAGGTAGAAGATTTAAAATCGCGGTGAGGACCGTCAACACTTATCTCGAAACGTAACTTGCTTGCTCCTGGTCTGTTTCGTGTTGTTCTGTGTTACTAGAAACTCAAAACGCTATGTTGGAGGCAGTTTCCGTGAGCAGTAAAATCACTGCATATTTTTGAATTTTTTAATTAAAATTAGGCAAATAACCAAATAAGGCAAGTTGTCAAACTAATCGTAACATGACGTAACAAAGTCCAACTCAAACTCGAACACATCCCACTCCCTAAGAATATATATCAGGAAAACACATTTTAAGCGGCTAAAAGAGGCAAAAAAGCTACACTTAATTTACATTTCTTTTCTCTGTATTAAATACTTTAGAGCAAGGTAAGTTTAAAGTTGTATTGATCAACTCCTCACTGGTGACTGTAATGCATCTACATATATTTTTATCGTTCGTCTCAGGCAAAACTGCGCCAGGCAGGAAACGTGTGACTCCGAAACAGACACGGAGGCAGCCTCAAAAATGAGTCGTTTACTGCTTACATTGGCTGTTCTTGTGTCAGTAGCTGCCCCAGGTGAGTGATGCACAATTCCTTATATTATTTCAGCGGTAGCAACGAAAACATTTCCGAAATATAGTTAAAACTAATGAACCTGATAAACAGAGCGAAATGACCGAACTTGTAAACGTGATGTGGCTGTTGGGAGCGGGACAATCCATCAATAAGTAAAAAACCGACACAATTTAAGTCTTCACTTCTCAGTTAATGTTCGAATCAAAGGTTACGGAATTCTGTTCATTCTGTATACTCTATTTATTAATTTGAATAGGAGGCATCTTGTCGAAATAATATTGCGTTTTCCACCACGCCTTCTCAAAGAATCATGTCAACACCAGGCTTGCACTTTGAGCTGCCAGCCAATGATACTGCAGAACCCCTGACGCTCATAACAAAACAAAGAGGCGCCCCGCGGGAAGGCAATAGTTTTCTAGAAACTTTTATCTCAATTAAGCCTTTAACTCCCATGAGTGACCAGGACAGAATTTCTCATTACAATATCAACACAATATCAAGCAGTTGATGAGAATGTAGAAAAGTGTAAGTTTGAGGATTTTTTTAGTTGACCAGTACCAAATCTCAGAACTAGCATCACAGGAATTATATGGCAGACAGTAACGAGAATTACGAATGCGATCTTGAGCGTTGAAGGGTAAGGGATACAAGATACTTTCAGGTACAACATTTTTCAAAAGCTATATTTAGCAGAATCTTAAATATCGGAGTGAAATCTATCGAAATTCATCCGATTAGTAGACAAAACATAATTTCTGGCGAGAATTTAGGAGTAAATCAAATTCCGATCAAAGTTTACAAATCGTGTATGGAATTTTTGGCAGCGCTTTTCTCTGCTTTAATTTTCGATCTAATTTGCCAAACATCATCGATTTTGGGGCTCGCTGAATTAAACCGATTCCCTTGAAAATTGGCACAGAATAAGATTACTATAATTGAAGGAAAAAAATCTGTAAGGCCCAATTTTTGACTTTCAAAATATTTTTTTTTGAGCTGTGATTAAGAGTGCAAAGGTCAGAAAAAAAAATTACATGCTCGAACTTGAAAAGGTCATAACTTTGAAAGAAGACATCAATCAACCTTTACCTACTTGGCCTTTTTTTCACAATTGAGTGACAATCTCTCTTTGAGATAATTTGCATATTTCCACACTTCCAGACTACCAAGTTGAGATAAATGTGGGTTAGGTAAACCCTCATTTGCATAATTCCAGATACTTCCACACTTTCACACCATTTCCAAGGGCGCTCGGCGGCGCGCTAATTATATAAATATAATTTTTTCCCTAAGCTTTCATATTTTTTTTTACGGAAAGGAAAAGAAAGAACCGCACGTAATCTATAGCAGCACATACTTCACCGTGACCAGTGACTCGGTCACGTAATTCAGTTGTGTACTTCTCCCGTCTAAATAAGGCGGCGATTACGTGATTTTTTGCTTTGAATTCTAGCCTAGGTCTTCCAGGCATCTTCACAGATGTTAGCGCGCCGCCGGGAGCTTTTGGAAAGAGGCCCTAGCATTAATTTTTCTTACTGATTATCTTCGACTTGCGCGGCGGACTTCGCCAAAACAGAGGGATTGCTCGATCGACTAGTTTAGTGCTGTTATCGCTAGTTACGCTAAATAAAATCCTGTAGTTTGGTTCTGAAATGTCTATGCCGGTTTGAATAGCTTAAGCTCTCTAAACTCAAATATGAAAGAACAGAAACCAATTTTTTAAAAGGAGTTTCATTTTAAAAAACGTTGACCGATTGCTAATCAGTATAATATTCCATACGTTTTTTTTCACCTCTTCCATCACAACATAGAATCATTTCCTAGATTTTAGCCATTCAAAATGGTTAGAGTATAAATCTGTGTGTTCTGGAAGCTCTGTCGTAGTATCTCCTCTTTTTTTTTTTAAATGGTTAAAATGAAAAATTCATGAAGCTACCGATATAGTGCGGTCAGAGTTTGCTCAACAGACTAATTTGCATAATTCTGCTGTCACGCTAGCAAAATCACCAAAAGTTTAAAGTCACTACGACGAAGGAAATAATAAGTGCAAGATGTTTTTGTATTTCTATGCTTTCGAAAGTCATGGTCTGGTCTGGACTGGAGAAATATCACTCAAGAAAGAAAGAGTATTTTTGACCAATTTTAGAAATCTGTCTTACTGGTGTTTTTAAATAAATTATGACGAACCTCTGAAAACACATATCTAAATTGAAATGGTATCCAAACCCCTCAGATAGGCAAAGTTTGAGGCAAAACTTTTTTCCGATGCGGAATGCCCTGGACCGCCCAAACACGGATCTCCACTTAATATGCTCTGATTGACTTTCCAAAGACTGTTTGCCGAAACAATAAAACCCAAGCGCCTGTAAATCGAAGGAAGATAGACGAGTAGTTTTCTCTTTCTGCTCAGTTATTATCTCTGTATCTTGGAAAAATAGAAAAACAACAGGCTGGTAAACTATCGAATTTTGTAGGTTATAAGCTTCAAAATGATATATAGTTTCTTAGGGATTGATTCAAAGCTGTCGTACGTCAGGTGTGGGTCAAACTCAGGGGAAACATTTTATTCACCTATCTTGGGTCGGGTAATTTATGAATACTTGTCACTCTTGGCACAATGTTATCTCTTTTAATAAGAACATTCATAAGTTTTACACTTTTTGGGTCCTGGTTTTTCTTTCGTTTTTATCCAAGGTAGAGTGAAACGTTCCTTGAAGGTTTGAAGAAGTAGTGGGATAAGGGGAAGGTGGTTGCTTTCCCGTCGCTAAACTCCACCCAAAAGGATAAGGGTTTATTACCCCCGACCTAAAATCCTGGCCCCACTTAGGGCAAAATCTGCTCATTTTCTAGCCCTGTTCAAGACTCGAGATCCAAAGAGCCGTACTTTATTGTGCAATTGCAATACGTGTTTCGTTAGGCCCATTAAGGAAATTCCCCACCCCAGGGCGTGAAATTGCGCCTAATATAGGCGCCAATGCGCCTAAATTTTTCACTTTGGCGACCAAATCCTGAAAGTTAGTCGCCAAATTGGCGACTAGAACGTTTCATGATAACCTTACCAAGAGATATAGTGAATTAAAAAGATTTGCAAAGATAAATCCGCGGCAAACTTCCTCGTTAAGTTTGTTTCCAAAACGTAGCATCTCGATCGATAACTAGACGCCATCTTGGACTTAGATGAGCCTGAACGTTGTATATCATCCATCCTAGTGTCCATTTTGTAGCATGTTAAAGATATTTTCCCTAACTTAATTTTGGAGGGTCTATCTAGAACGCTGACAGCGTAAAGAAAGATTTTGTTTGTCTTTGAAAATGGCGACCAACTTTTTTTGAATTGGCTACCACTTTGAAGAATTTAGGAGCCAAGTGGCTATCAGAAAAAAAAGTTAATTTCACGCCCTGCACCCACCTCCCAGGATGTACATTCATTCAATTCACTTCGGTGGACATTTTGCTTTGACATGACATTCTCAAACGCAAAAATAAATGCTTAAAGTTATTATGAGAACTGCTCTAAAGAGTAGACACAAACAGTGCAATCTGTATGAGGACAGCAATGAAACTCCCGCCACTGTACGCATGATGAAGAGTTAATAGCGCATTTGTAGTAAGTCTTTAAACCCCATAGAATACAGTGTAAGTAACATGCTGTCTGTACACATTTTTTTCATCATTTTCTGCTTTTTAATTCGTCAGCTTTTGCTTTAAAATGCTATGTCTGCGCGGGTACTGAAAACACGTGTAAGAAGAGCAAGTTGGAAGAAAGCAAAGGCATCTTTTTACATACGTGTATTCTCGGCGATAAATGCATCAGATCTTGGTCTAAAAGCAAAGATGACGATGCTGTGGTTGCAAGTGGATGTGCGTACCAATCGGTCTGTGACGCCCAAAAGTCCGCTTGTGATAAATTGAAAGATACTCTGAAGGACTACCATTGCGCGGTTGGCTGCTGTTCTGAAGACGGATGTAACGCAAGCTCATATTTCACTTCTAACATCATCCTGTTGGCCGTTTGCTTTGTCCTGGGCTTAGCACTGCTGAAGTAAGCCGTGAAAGGCTGTACAAGTCTACTTTTCATTTCCGTTGGCGTGGTCACCGAAAGTGTTAGATGTACTCAGTTTCAGAACAGTTGAGGCAGCGGAATCTCCCGTGCACGTTTAGTTTCTGGCAATTGTTACTACTTTTAATCATTTTGTTGGTTTTCGCGTTTTGTTTCTCCATTAAAACTTTCAAAATCTATTTTTCTGTGGCTTGACTTCGTATGATTGAATAAAAGGGCGCTCACGATCGTTCACTTCTGTAGCCCACCGTACTGTTATTTTTGCTCCTTTTTTTTTCTTTCTCACGTGCATCTTCTAGGGCGCTTGTAGTGGCCTGGAAACGAGCTGTTTGTCCACATATGCGTCGTTAGACGAACACATTACTTACTCAGTCAATCAGTATTTTATTTGAGTGACCGCCGCTGTTTCCCTCTCTTCCTTTCTTTTTTCCTCTCGCTGCGCCGTACGATGAACCAAGACTTCTTCTCTAGCCCTACCTGCACCATCGGCCCCAAACGGAGATTTTATGATACATATTTCAAGGTAGACATAGAGAAGCGGTGGCGTTCACATGATAAAATGGTTATCAACTAAGTTAGATCGGGCTGATCAGGATGGTAATTGGTCCTCGGTCATGATGGATAGACTTACGCACGCTCTGCCCGTTTTTCATGACCTTAAGCTTAATATTCCCCTGTCTGGCCCTCCCACCCAATCACAAACTACATATTTGTATATGACAATTGGTAATTTCAGAAAAGTAATCTGATTGGTAGGCTATTTCGCGCTGATGAACATTATTTACCCCTTGGGGCGAAAATAATGCGTTATTTTGAAACTAGTAAAAACAGTAGCTGGGATCAACTCGCGTTTCGCTGATGTCCAGAAAATGCAAAGCAGTAACAAACGTTAGGCAAACATTGTACATTAGGCCTATTTTTTTTAGTCACAACCCTGGCCTGGGTATATCG